AGGGAACTTTGGAACATGCGCAAGTAGAGTGAGGTAAAGGCAGAAGGACTCAGTAACCATCCATTGCAGCTTGCCTTGTCTGCCAAACACGTTGACTGCTAAACGGATGGTTACAGTTATTGTTTGGACAGTTGTATTGTTTCTGCAGAACATCTGTATTGAGGAATACAGATACGACAGCAGGCGTGGGTAGGAAGGGAGAAGAGAACAATTTGGCTCAACTACAACATCCGTCAATTATAAAATGCAGAGAAGATGAAATGCTATTAGCCAATACATAACGTGTTTTGAACCAACTGATTTTTTTAATGTTCCCTCCGGCTCCCTCCAATGGGCTGATCAGCCTCTCTGAACACAGCTTTTTGAAAGAACTATCTGATTTGCACCACATTTTCCAGTTGCAGATTGAAATACTATATCAGTTTTCTAGAAGTTCAAACGCTTAGGATTGTGACTTTCAGAAAAGGTTTATATACTCTCCCAAAAGAGAAACAGGAACATATGTTAACATCCAGAGACTAGAACAGCCTAGCAGTGTGCAAGGCCCATCATAACATAGTTATTTTTAGCTATGATATCATTACAATTAACTCTGTGCAGATTTTGAAACCTAGGCTATAAAGACTGGAGATAGAAATCTTGTTCATATAGATTTATGTGCAATACTCTTAAAGAAAGCAGTGCCTTATTGTCTAAAACAATGTTCAAAGACTGCACCCTGCTGGCTCATAGCAGCATCAATTATGGCAAACACTTAAATGCTCCTTCAATATCGCTTTTAAAATGCATTACAAAAATTCTATCCATATTCCAACACAAATATCGCCCAGCTTATACCCATCATAGAAGCTATAGAAGCTACATGACACTAACAAAAAGAGAATACTAAGTTTCTACTAAGAATACTGAGTTTTATATATATATATATATAAAAATATAAAAAGTTGTATTATGTTCTTCTGCAAAGACAGTTTTAAGATAAGATTTTGTGCAGCCTCATGCTTTTCTCCTGTGGGCAATCCCACAAAATGACAATGTCATTCTCAAAGCATACTGAAGCCTCAGGCTTTTCACGCAACTCGAGCATTTCTGCCACCTACCAAGCCCCAAACATCAACTCAAAGGAGAAAACAGAAAAATAAACTATGTGCTTTCTTAATCATTCTCAGAAATAAAGCACAGCAGTGTTGATCTAAGGGATGGATGCACCCACAGAGTTTAATTTAAGGTAGTATGAGCAGGTCAGGCCAACAGAATTTACCGGATTAATGGGTTATGTTCACTCTCCTTTATGAGCTATATATTTTTATATATTTTTTTCTTCTCTGATGGACCATGGATGAAATCAGTCTTGCATACTATACCATACAAAACTGTACATGCTAAGTGAAACAAAGTACTATCAAAAAAAAACCTCTGTCAGGTAAACACAGCTTTTGCTGTCTCTCTCTTGCACAGCAGGATGAATAGGACTACAAAGAACAGTTCGTTGTGGACCTAAGATGAAATCTCCAAATCACTAAAGTTAATGAAAAGACTAATCAATTTTAATGGACCCTGAACACCCAATTCTATAAAATCTTAGCTCATATGAGGCACCACTTACTCAGAGGTGTTAATTTTTACCTCAGCTCCTGAGGGTAAAAGGGTTTTGTATTTGGAATAGATTTAAGTCACTTCTTCCTTCAAAACAGTTTATTCTACTTTGAGTTGCAAAAAAATTGTCATTGTATTTGATGTGCTAATCTGAGTTGCTCTAAGATCTGATTTTCTGTTCTACAAAATTTTGAGGTAACAAGATTTGTCCTTCCTGAGGACATATAATCCTACATTTGCTAGAAGAAGCACTTGACGTTTGAGGACATGCTGTACATCGGAGAACTAAATATTGGCTAGACTTGCATATTTACATTCAGATTTTGGAAAACAGCACAGAGTTAAAACATCCAGAAAGTGTGCATGGGCTGTCTTTGAGGTGTAAATTTAGCATTAATGTTCTGATTGTAGTGTTCATTTTATTTTTGGCTAAAAAAAATCTTTCACATCATCAACAACAACAAAAACCTCACAACCTCTTCCCCTACCCAGACTGATCAGGGAACAGCAGGAATTAAATAATGACCTGTTAACACATGAGGCATTATACTGTTCTCTCCTGTGCGCCCACCATTAAAAAAAGGGCTATTTAGTCTCTTAATAGTATTGCTGTTGTTTGTATATGCTAGTTTCTGCTCAAGTAAGAACAGAAACTTGCTGGCTATGAAGTTGGTTTGCATTATGGTATACATAATGTTTATATAATATATAAAACATTATACATTATGTATATGTGCCGTATTTGTATTAGGTGATCACACATAAATACACATAACTTGGAAACACCATATAGCAGAAGACTTATAACCAACCTGGTTATAATTTGTAGCAACAACCTCTGTCCTAGTATTTGTGAATAGAATTTGTGATAAAACACTTTAAAACTGAAAGTTATTTCACTCAGTTATTGCCATATAAAAGCTATGTGCCTAGGCAAAGCCAGTTGAAAGGCCTCCTGAGGCTAATAATCTGGAATCAAACTCTCCACAACACTATCTTCAGCAAGCAACACAGCATGGGACACGTTACCTTCCAGGAGATGGGTGCATCTCTGCACTGGCTACCGTCACTGAAGTCCAGGTATCTGTATTTTAAGCACAAATCTCATAAATGAGAAAAATATCATACATAGGTGATGTCAGATACAAGGCTTGTACAAAATAGCCTCCGGATATGTGTCACCACATGTCTGATGGCTTCAGAGTGAGGGGATCATCTTGGACACAATCTACTAGAGGAGGCTTGATGTTTTTCATTTAAAAACACAATTAAATTCCCTAATTTTAGACACCAGTGACTTCGAAGTCTTTTATGCCATGTGCAACCTGAACAGTGCTTGATTCTCCAATCTCAGACACGTTGTACAGGGATCCAGCCATACAGCTGAAGGCCTGGCTGAGAAAATCTTTCCATGGTAAAGTAAGCTTAACCTGGCAAAGAGACTAGTGAAATGACCAGAAGGCTAAATGTTACTAAACTACAAGATAATTACAAGTGATGCACCTGGTAACTCTCCTTTCCACATGAAGATTGCAAAGCAAAACCCAATCCCAATAAGAACCAATAGTCTCCGTGAACAAAGGAAGAAAGTGCAAAGATTGCTTTGTTAATATTATCTCCTTCAAGAACAGGCCAGAAAACCTTACGACATTTATTTTCTGCCCATTTATTTGAATAAAATATCAAAACCCCTTATGGAAAAAAGTCATTTTGATGCAGGCAAATTCAATCAACTTCAGGCATTTTGATTCAGGCAAATGAAAGAAATAACTGAGCAATAGTTATAAGGTAATAATCAAGGTAGACTTGATTATTCAAGTTTCTGGCTTGTATTTTAAAATTGCAATTGCTTAAATGATCAGGTATAATGGACATATATGCTCTCATAGTTATGCACACAAAATTCAGGAAACTTTTTTATGGGAATGGATATAGTATATCTGAACAAGCTGGAAAGAAACTATAGGGATTGAAGGACTTCAAGTTAAACAGCAATTTAGGTGAAATGCAAAGGACCAAGTTATGGAAATTTAACCAAGAACACAAGAGCAAACTCCCACAGTAGAAGAGAGTAAGGTATCTTCTGTTATTCAGGAAATAGGACTTTGTTTTTAAAATTTTCACTTCTACACATGGAGCTGAGGGCGAACCTAAGTTACTCACTGTGAAAATATAGATTAAAACCACCTCCAAAGCTTCACACCCTGTGAAGCAAGAACAGATACTCATCTCAGGATAATTTGTGGAGCAGCAAATTCACCCAGTTAGGACATACGTTAGCTGACAGTGACAGGAGTTGAAGCAAAGACCTAGATGTGTGTTGAGTTAGCTTCCAGAGAGCCCTAGGTTCTCCTGGTTGGCTCACTGGGGAGACCAGTCAATTAATGTCCGTGGGCAAAGCCAGTGTCCCAAAGCCAGGTGGGATGACTCCAGGCTACAGGATTATTCTGAAAGGAGGTGAACAAAAGGAAAGAGTATTTACCTACATATAACAAAAGCACTTTCTCGAGTGAACGTAAAACTTAAAAGTCACTATGAAAAATCACAGGAGCCATATTCATTTAAAATATCTATTGAAATTAGAAATTAAACTCTTCAATATGTTTTGAAGTACAAAACACAACATTAAAAGGCATTCAACAGCTCTTTTATACATCACAGTGTTAGTGGCACAAAATGTACTTACATTTCAAATACATCAACAGAACTATTTTTACACTGCTCAAATACATTATTTATACATATGCATGACTCCTTCATGCTTATTCCTATACAAGGTTAAAATATATCCATGATAAAATGATCAAGAAAGGTTCAGTTATGTACCACATACCTGTATCTAATGTTCCTGGAACTCCTATAAGAGAGATGTACAAATTAAAGCAATAATGAGGACCACAGGGCTCTAAACACAAACAGCATGCTTTAGTTACTATAAGTGCATTAGCAATTAAGCGCTGATGCAGACTTTTGGATGTTTTTAATATTACTGTCAACAACAACCTCCATATCCTATCCATTTTCCACAGGATGCCAGACTATATATGAAACGAACAAACTTTGGTTTTAAAAAGCAAACCTGCAAAAAGCTTTATGCATGCTGCACCTTATTGGGTTGAAAACTGCTTGTATTAAATCTTTTATTGTTTTTAAACATATATATATTTTACAGTAAAAGGACAGCAGATGAAATGCAAAAAATAATAATTTTGCTTTCCTGTCCATAGTACTTTTAAATTGAAAGCAAATGATTTTTTTTCCTGATCTATGAATATTTCATAGACAAGGAAGTTTTTCATTAATTTTCACTGTGGTTCCTGCGTGTCAGGGTTTAATTGTATGCTGAGTTTAGCCATTCAGCTTTCATTTGGGATCTTGTCTAATCGATGAGGCAGAGTATTTGAGGAAAGATCATGCTGCTTGGTACGTGGAGGAGAGCATCTCACTCTTGGTATGCTGCAGTAGGTGGCTTAAAAATGAATGTTAACTTGAATAAAATTTAAATATTAACATAAACCACAGCGTGTATTTATAGATAATCTTTCATCAGAGAAACTTAAAGAGTCTGCAAACCAATGAAATTATCCTCACAACGCTCCTGTGAGGTAGCTAAGCATTGTTCCGTCCATTTAAAAGATGGGTAAATTGAGATAAAAGAAGAAAAGTGACTTGTCCAATGTCCCATGGGAAGTACCAATATTACCATCATTGAAATCAGTGTGGGTTTTGCTACTGATCTTGCTCAGAACTGACTAGAGCTCAATTAGTTGCAAGTCCAGGGAGAAGCAAAGCCTTGGAAGTCCGGCCTCCACACTCCTGTGCTCACTAGACAAGACACTACTCCCAACAGAACATGCATCCATGTACTGCTAAAAAACTCCATTAAAACAGCATTTAAGGCAATGCAAACAAACTAAATCTTAGCATAGCCATAAGAATGCAACAAAGATCATGCAGTGAATCTCACTTTCGTATGAAAATTTAAAAAGACAAGGCTGTTACAACAAAGTCATGTAAAAAGCAAGAGAGACAAACATTCACTTCTCTATTATATAGGGCTTAAATGTCAGAGTGTAAAATAACATATTTACTATCTGATTTCTGGGTAGTAGATGTCACACTATCAACATAAACTATAACACACACAAAAAAAGTCCCATTCTCAGTAAATTACTACTGAAAATATATTACTTGGGAAACAAAACAGCATTAAAAAGAAAAAAATAAATAAACAAAAAAGATCTCCCCCATAATTTTTCCCCATAATAATGCAGAAGAAATGACATTTAGCATACCTGAATGGATTAGCTATTTGGTAAGTGTATGGAGGCATATGGGCTACCCTAAGCGCCAGAATGTGTATCAAGTGACATGCTACATAGATTTCCAGTAGCAATTCAAGTATCTTGAAATCAGAGACAGATATGCCGACAAAAAAAGTACACACTTTTCTGCTCATGTATAATGTTGTCTTTGAGCTTCAATTCTAAGCTACCATTTAAAAATATTTATACTTTTTTTTTTTTTTTTGAATCTGGACATACCTTAATTTTGACACTGATTCTTGACTAGCCACCCAGGGGACAGTAGGTCTCTGCACCACAGAAATTTGCTATATCGCCACATAAAGACTGTCTCTAAGAAAGGCACAGGAGAAAATAAATTGTGTCCTAAGACACCCAGATAGTGGTGTCCTAAGACAGTCTAATTGTCTAAATTGTGTCCTAAGACACCCTTTACTAGCAGGCCACTGCACTTTTGCAGCCTTCTAACGCTGCAAGAGAATTGGTCACTGCCACCAGTGCCACACAATAAGAAAATGAACACTCCAGGAAATCTTTATGTCCTCCTGCCCTTTTTGTCCTTTTGTTTTCTTTTTTTGTTTTCTTTTTTTTTTTTTTTTTTTCCTCCAGTTAAATCAAGTTACAGGGCCAGAGATCAAATGTCATGGTTCAGGCTTCCCCACTCAATCTTACCTGCAGGACATTGTCATTCACAGGAGGGTGTCCATTATTTCTGCGCATTGAAGCAAAGATTCAAGATAAGCAAAGCTTAACAGTCTTCTGCTTCTCTGGTGATATGGACTTAACTTGCTGCCAGAACCAGCGTGAGGTGACTACTTCACTGCCCACTGAACCCAGCAGTGCTTCACACAATACCTAGGCAAACAAGGTGTTTGAATGTGACACCCACTTTCCCATCTGGAATATTTTTGAATAACAAAGCAATTTTTAATAACAAAGAAGATCTAAAATATCGTCTAAAAAGATCTATGAAAACAAAAAAATAGATATTATAAGCAAATATCTGAACTGTGCATTACCATAAAAAAGGTGATAAGGAATTCAGACTTGCTGGTAAACAGATATCCTTTTTATTCTTGTTATAATGGCAGAACTCATTAAAATCAAGCCAAATAAGCAAGCATGCAACTCCAGGAGATAAAATTTGGATTTAGATATAGTGTGAATTTGGATACCTTTAAAACTTGGAAAAAGGAGAAGAAAGAATTCAAGGGTAGTTTTATAAAAGAACAGTGGTCTTCCCAAAATTATACTGTCCAATCATTTTATTTAACAGGAGGTATAAAATAAAAGTTAATAGAAAGAGGAGTCACATCCTTATGACTGAGCTATAAAATTACATTCCCAGCAAGTGAAAGTAGCTAGAAACAATTGCATTTAAAGGTTCTGAGACATTTTTCAGTGCAAAATTAGCCTGGCTTCAATATATTCATCCACCTTACTACGAGGATAATGCACAGATATAAGTGACAATGAAATAAATGCAGTCAACCTTCAGTCCATGTGCCATTCAGTAGAATGTCTTCATCCAGTATTACACAGCAATTACATACACAGCAATTCAGGTGCATCATATTTCATAAGTTGTTAGTTAAATTCTTGTAGGCTTTAAAAACAGCTAGGATCATTTTCCATAAAACATTACTAAATAAAAACTACTATGATTAACACTATTTTGACTAGTATATTTTACTACCCTGGAAACATATAGCACTGTGAATTCTGAAAAACTACCAAACCAGGTCACTGACTCACTCTCAAATAAAAGTTGTTTTGTCACAGTATTGTTATTAACAGCACACACTGTACAATATTAACTCTGAAAACGGGCTAAGCAGTTTAAACGTTAAATACAACTTCCACAAATATCCCAGGCATTTTTATAACTAACTATAGGGATCATCCTGATGCTTAGAATTTTTATACTTAAAAGGAAAGATTCATTGATAAGCCCAAGTCTGACGAATAACAAAATTACGCTTGTATTTTTAATAATTGCCCTTAAGACAGAAGCAAGCTATCTTGAACTTCCAAAATATTTCAATAGCACAGCTATTTACACATTTGGTTTAAATAGGATTATATATATATCTATATCTATATAAAAAGGTTAAGATACCTGGATTAGAAGTTACATAGCCCTATAAATGTAGCAGAACCCTAAACAACAGCAAAAAAAATAACAATTCTGAAAAAGACTAGTGGTCCAGTGGTAATCAATACCATCAATGCATTCTTAAAAGAATCTTGATTAGATAGTAAGTTTGTGTCATCACTCAACCTTACAGCTTCATATATTCACTTCAGAAATGTAGTTTTCAATCATACAAATTTCTCGTAAGACTTCCTAATATTCTCAGAAGGCAACAGGACCAATTTTGTCCATCTGTCCCTCCCCAATTTTCAAGAAAGGCATTAAGATGGCGGATATGCACCTTATTGATTTTGCTATTCTTGGAAAAATATGCACTAAAAAGGATGCTGCAATGTCAATGTTAACAAAACACAGAAGTGTAATAAACATGTTCAAGTCACACTAGGTTGACTACCCAATTTAAATGATAGGCAACTTAAACACATAGAGAAATAAGACACCAAACTTTGAAGCTAATGGATATGCAAAAAGCTTCAATTTGTATGTATTTTAAAAGTCATTTTGCTGATATCATTTAATACAGTTTCCAGTCCATAAGGGCAACAAACTTTTTGCATTATTTTTTGCAGAATCACATCTTCATTTCAGAGGCTACCTCGGTCCATGGTCTTCCTTAAGCACCAAACTTGCCTTCCATTACTTCCATTACTCCTTGTCTAATATCAATTGATCTATGCAACAACATTAACAAACAGTTCCTGGAACCAAGACTGTGTGTCAAGAAAAAGCAGGACGGGCCAAGTAAGGCTACAGCAATGTAAGTGCAAAAGGGAAACAACAAGAGCAACAACAAAATCAAAACGAATGCTGTGATGAGTCCAATCTTCTCTTGTTCTAGGTAGGCAGAGGGTCGTCATCTCCTTTACTACATTTACACTTGCAGCACAGAACAAATGGTGTAGCTAGCAGAAGAAAAGGGGAGGCCACCAAAAGGAGAAGACCAAATCCTGCAAAAATTCCTACCACCTGAAAGAGAAATCAGAGAGCAAATGTTCATTTTTCAATGCTCCAGCCAGACCCTTGCTACACAACTCAGTTCCATCAGATCAAGTGACACAGGTGCTTATTTGAATTGATGAGCTTTGATGTATTTCAAACACCTAAAGAAGCAATTGATTGGATAATTTTTTCTTTTTTTTTCTTCTTATCAAAGATAAATATTAAATATTGGAAACAAGCCTACAAGACAGTTAAGAGACTCTCATTGTTAAATATTCCCCTATTTACAGGACAAAATTTCAAAAGGTAGCAGCCAAGTCAGGGTCAGTAATCGTTCGCAGAGAACCCAGAAAGACTCCAACAAACTTCCCACCATCAAAAACGTAAGTTTGGGAACCTCAGCCTTGTATTGCAAACACTATGAATAACAGGATGACTTTGCATATGAGAAATGGCATTTTACAAGTGAAGCTGAGCTCACTCTGTTGCTTCAGGAAACTTGACCTAACTACATCTAAAAGCATTTTCTCCATTTATATTTATTGATCATCCTCTTCCTAGCATAGGAAGAACAGCTCAGATCTGCCAATATTGTCAGTGTGCCAAACTCTGTTATTTGCTTCAGCATTTAAATTTAGAAAATCATTTAAAAAAGAAAAGTTGAGGGCCACTGCCTTATAAAGTTTCCTAGTTCCCATAAGCAACTCTAATGGTAAAGCAGAGACAATATTCCTGTAATTTTTTTGAGAAAACATTTAAACTGATTCACATGATAGTATCTGTGAATAATTTTGAAAGCAGAAGTGGAATAACAGTCTGCTAACAAAAACAACAGAAGGCAGAATGAAGTTAGAGCGCCTTGCTCATTAAGAGTTCTTCTAGCCAATTCTTCTATGCCATTTCAATTAACTGGCAAATACTTAATTTACCATGCTATAGAAAGAATGACTTGCTAGTGCCAAGCACAGATAATTTCTCTTTATGATTACTCTGTATTTCTTTTTGTGATTTCACTAGCCCATTATTTTTAAAGGGCAGCGTTGAAACTCGAGGCTTATTTCAGCAGATGGCGCTGTTAGAATTAATTTGCAAGAGTGAAGCCCTCACCCTGATATTACATAATGTTATGATAGATTTTTTAAATTGTGTCTTTTGACTGTCTAGGGATAAGAAGCTCAAACTTTCCTACCCTAATCATTTTATTTATTGGTAATAGCAATTTCTCTTTAAACTTCAGCAGTGTGCACATTCCACTAATTCTTTTCCTGGAAGTGTTGACAGTCTGATGCAACTTGTCTGCACGTATTTGCTATAAACAGAAAATAAAGCTAAATTCTCAGCTGAAACTTCTTTAAAATACAGTGAGCTGCAACTGCCCCCGCCCTGCTCTGCAGAGACCTCATGCACTTACCCAGATCTTTGCAGTCCAGGCCAAGAACATAAAAATGGTCAGTGCTAGCTACAGTACAGGGTCAAGGTACAAGTTAGCATTTCAGCATATTGGTTTGGCCACTGCTGATATTTACATCTATTTAGATCTTCTCTTCATTCCCAATATTCTCCTAAAGAATTCACCAAGTTTCATCATTTTTTTTCTTTAAACATCAGCTCAGCAGGTTGCCTGCTGAGTATTAGTAATTCATTTTCTGCCTGGATGCAGTTGCTTCTAAGCAGCTGAGCATTTCACATCCAGAAGCAATCTTCCCTACTCAGCATCATGTCATTCCCTCTGGCCAAAATAAATCTATTCTTTAAAATCCACAAAGAACAAACCAAAGGTTCACTTCAACTTGCCTTTGATAAATATTCAATGAAATCTAACATAAGGAAATGATTACAGTGCTAATCTTTCTTCATTAGGTTTGGCAGAACTGCAACACTACTGGTAGAAAATTATTGCTCTCTTTCTGATGATGACCACAACATCAAACATACTGTCTATCAAACATACTTGTATCAACTACTGTGCCCAAGAACAGTTTTGTATTGTATGTGTTAAATTAGGGCAGGGAGCTCTTCTGTTATATAGCAATCATGCTGGATCCAGCAAGACCTGATCCAGGCTACAAGAATCCCCAAACTCTTTGCAGCTGTCAATTTGAATTGTGCTTGGAACAACTGACAAGCTCAGTGGGATACCTACTGAAGGACCTAGCTCTACCCAACCTATGTGAATAAGTCAACTTATGAATGTGTCAATAGAAAATTATGAGATTCCTTTCTAATTCTGCACCACTATATTTTCCTAGATATTAGAAAACCTATGTATGAAAAAATAAGGCAAAGGAATGTTCTGTCAGCATGCTCTTGTTTCTCTCTTTATTCTTGCAAACTTATTAAAGATCTGAGAGTTACCTGTGTTCTGTGCCAGATAACAGATGCCCTGGAGTGACCCAGCTTGTTTCGACATGGTCCTTTGTCATAATGTATAAGAAGAAAATCATCCTGCAAAATATGAAATGGAAACATATGCAATAAACAGAAGTACAAATTATTAGTTTATGAAATATTATGCCCTGAGAAGTTATAATCAGCAATTGTACAGGAAGATAAAATCTTGGTAAAGATTTGGCCAGGACCAACCTTTCCACAAAGTGTTTGTTTACAGTTAAGTGTCTTCAGAAACAGGTTTGTTTAAAAATTATTGTTTAACTATAATGAATCTCTTTTGAAGACTCCCAAGATGATCATTTAAATGCTAGTGTAAAGTTTAGCAGGACAATCTCAGATGGTAAACTGGCCACTACATATATCTCACAGAGAGGGAGAGAGAAGAAAAGGGTAAGGGGGGTGGGAGAGGGAGAGGGAGAGGAGAAAGAAAAGGCAGCGGAAGAGAAGGAGGAAGAGGAAATGGAAGAGAAAAAGAGAGGGAGAAAGAGAGGGAGGGAGAGAAAAAAGCAAAAGAAAAAAAAAATATTTATACCACAGACTTAACAAACTTTGTTCCTTTTCTTAGTTAAAGGATAAAAAGACTATACAGACGCAAGAGCACACAGGAGAAACATTTCCATACCTGTTTGGTCACACTTTAATATACCAGCCAAGATAGCAGGTACCAAGAGCCATGGCAGGTACCAAAGAGCTCTGATTTTTAGCTGAGCATGAGAATGGCTGGGATTTAAGGACGCTCAGCAAAGCATTCAAATCAAACGACGGCAGGATTCAGAATAGTCAGACTATCTTTACCAGACATAAAACATTTCTTTCGCTATTGTTAACTTGGCTATAAAATAAAATGGATGATGTGGAAACAGATACTGTATGCTGTATGCCTGGGACACAAACACCTGACAACTAACAGCTCATAAATTGAAAAACCCCTGGTGTTAGAACACTGTATTATTTTTGACATACTAGATGAATTTCTGGTCTCACAAAATGACCAATATATGATAATGAGTATACAATAATGAGTAGTAAGCAAAGCTGACTTCTAAACTTCTGCACTAAAATGCATGGTGGCACCATGCATCTAGAGGTTCTCTGTTAAGTCTCCACAGAACTGACAACATTAGTACATTCATCCTGTAAGCTCCTTCCAAAAGCAGAACATAAAAAAGCAAATCCCAAATGAAGTATTATCAAAACAATCAAGCTAGATGGTAATACAAGGATAGCCTATATATATACACAGTATAAGTATGTAAATCATTAACGAGGCAGCTGGGTGGCAAAGCAATGAACTCCCAAGCTACTGAGATCCCGAGCATGCTGCGTGTACTCACGTCAAGGGATTCCAGACAGTACCAGCAAAAGGCATGTTTGCAGTTCTTGCACATCATTTGGGCACAGCCTTCGTCTCGCTCAATGTAAACTTTGCACTTTGGACAGCGCTTGATTGGAGCATCGTCTTCTTCCATTTTAAAAACCGAACTGGGAGGGAGAGTGGTGAACTATTAACATGTGTGGCTAAGTCAGTTTAGAAGAGAACTTCTAAGACCCATGATAAGTAAATATGCCTACTTTTATTCCCTTATTAAAAAGAAAAGAAAAAATATCTGTGTATTCAGCTGAGTTTTATTGTTCTGATATTTTGGCTATACTCTATTTTTCAAAAATACAACTGTTTTTGTAATCTATTGATTTTGGTAATAGTATACAGTTTCCTACTGAAATATTAAACAAGCAGTTAATTCACAGCTAAATATTTTGTATATGTCTAGATAATTTTCCCCTACATTCTTTACTCTCAGAAGAGGAAGGCATCCCCTACAGGTACAGTAAGCCCAGACTGCACTGCTTAGGCCAAGGGTACCAGGCAATGATTGCTTGTCTCTGCCTTCTTTGAGGATCTTTCATAGGATTTTCCCTCCAAATTCCCTCTACCATGAGCTTTTATGAGTTGTTATTCTTCCAGAGTTGATTGCTTTTCATCTCCAGCACTATTCAGTCAAAACATGCTTCGTGAGTTTGGTTCAGCACTTTTTTTTTTTTTTATCTTGTACAGAGTGCAGGAATGTAGAAACAGTGGAACAACCTTGATTTCCCTAGAGTAGCTTTCTACTCTGCGATGGTTTTATTCTCTCCAGCAACTAAAATGTGCCTTGAAAACTGGCACTTCCTGCCTGGCAGCCACTGCTGGTGAGTAAAGAGAAGACTAAGACAGCGATAAACAAATGATGATAAGGAATTAGCAAGTTGTAGTAAAATAGGACTGTCTTGATTGATTGCTGTTGCCTGACTGGTGGATGGCAGGACATATGCACTTTAGTCACACTACCAGCGATCATATCACAGAAGAAAACTTTAAATCTGTAAAGCGCAAAAACTATAAACATCCGAAACACTAAAGAAAACACATCAACTCTTTCACCTTACCATGGAGTTTAGTGAGATTGAGTTCTGGCTCAAGCTCACATAAAATCCACATGTCAAAATTATAATATTTGACCAGAAAGTCATCATGACAGCATCCTAGTTAATCATGTATTACAGCAAAGGTTGGAAGAAACCAACTTGGCAACAGCTAAGTTCACTGGTCATCCAGGACTTTAAGGATACCTTAAACTGCTAGAGTCTTCCAAGAAAGCTTTCAGTGAGATGTGCACAATGACTTCTCCCATTCAGTGGCTGCAGTATGACGGTGTTGTTCCACCACAGCCTCAGAGCTGGAATGTTTGACAAAGTATTCTAAAAACTGTCTGAGATGTCATGACCAATGCTCAGGCTGTCTAGAATGTCTTCTGTGAGGAGAAGGTCTTTTGCTGCCTGTGTGCCTCATCTATGGTTTGATGGGGATGGTAGCAAGGAGGGGAGGCCGTCAAGAGCCATCCACTTTTGGAAAATACCATTAACAGGAGAACTGGAGTGACTAGGTAAAGGAAATGTCTTTAAAACAAAATAAAAAATCTGGAAAATGTCTCTGATATTCATATTCGTGTCTGTTAAAAGATTCATTCTCTTCTTTCTAAATTCTTGGTCATTTTCAATACCTTGTTTCTCCTGGAAGAAAGGAGATTGGCATATTCTCTTGACAGCCTTGACCCGGGTGCCAGTTGGATTTGCAAGCAGAGCAGAACTCTATGTCACAGGCTTTGCACTGGACCAGCTGGGGGTTCTGAGGATTTGATTCCTGGAGCTGGCAAACTGCCTGGCACGTAGAGGAGGGACACCAAGTCCGACATGGATCCAAAAGCACTTCTGTAAAAAGGCATAAAAGAACTAAATTCAAAGGCAGTTGCAAGACCAGCCTTCCATAACACTGTGTTCCAGATGAGGTTGACTGGCAGGGCATTTGAACACTTGTCTTTTCAAAAGGAGCTTTTTTATTTACTTTACTCAATTAAACATAAATCTGGCCTGCTTTGCAAACTGGCACCAAACTAAGATAAATAAACTGAGTTCCAGAGTCTGAATTAATGGCTCATTTTCATTCACTGAACTAAACTTATTCTGAGAATGGAATGCAAAATTTTTCTTAAGTTACACTTAAAGTTAAATAGAGCATATCTTATGCAGGTATAATGCATCAGAAAGTGTTTGTAGAGCATCTTTCCCAGAGGAGCTCTGTTTCAAGTTGGCTGCTGCACTAACGCAACCACATGATTAGCAATAATATAAGATTTTTATTCAACTTCACCCCTTTCCTGAAGGTTGCTTACAGGTACATTTCATGTTTCAAAGCCCACCGTGGTCAATAAAAATATACCACTGATTCACCTGGTCTCTTAGCTAGGTCTATTGCTTGCTGAAAACCACAGAGTAAGTTTGCTATGGCCATATGTACCTAACTTCCAAAAGCAATTAATATAACACTACTGCATATATAGGATTGGATTTTGAGTTCTGGAGTGATACCATTCCTACGATGGTAGAAGTGATAGTGTGTTACCTCTTTCAAACTGAAGTTTCTTGTATCTTTGCATGATTTCTGATGCAACCATGCACTCAATCTGTTTAAGGAAGGAAAAAACAAATTTCCAGTTAAGAACAGCATTTTCAATAAATTGAGACAAAATATTTGACCTTCGCAGAATCATTAAAAACATATGTTGGCAACAATGACTAAGACACATTTGAAAAATTAAGAGAAAAGAAAAACTATTAAAAACATACCTCATTTTCTTGTAGATGACCTCGCTTTGGGCAGGCAGCATCGGGGCAACTAATTGCTGTTTCTAGACCTTCTTTGATCAAAAGCTCCACATACTGCTTTAGGCACTGCAAGAGAGGCAAAGAGTTAAGAGTTAACTGCTCCATCAAGAATAAATCTCTCAGTATTTTAACAATTTCCATTTGAAAACATTTAAACTTGCCTGAAAAACAGATAAGGTGCCCCATTTACAAGTGTGGTGCATACTCATAAACATAGCCAAGATTATACTCTTAAAAAGCAAATGGCAAGTTCATTTTCTGAGTGTGTTCATCAAATAACTCCCTCAATTTGAAAAAAATTCAGCAAGTAAGAAAAAAAAATGGGGAGAAGCAACAAATTAAATGGGGAGCTAGAAAAATAAGATAAAATTAGATTAACCACAGACCCAAAATCTTTATGAGACCGGAAACCACATCATAGCTTAGTAAGCAATAACTACCCATAAATATACATCTGCCAAGACTGACAAAAAGCAAATGGGAGTGTATTTTGCATTCTATTTTTGGAAAATAACTATTTGAGCTTCAAGGCTAAAGATCTATTTTCTCTTCTCTTTCTAGGAAAAAAAAAAAAAAGAATGTGAGAATTCGGACTCCCAGAAGAATTACAGTTTCCATGGGGACTGAATAATAAATATTGTTAATACTAGTGTTTTCCTCCTATAGCAACGATAGCATTTTACCCAAGTAGTAGCTGTAGCTGAAAATACAGCATGCACACTTGTGCACAGCATGACTGTCAACAAGATGAGAAAAAAGGCGGATATTTAGACCAAGGTCAAATTAAGACCAAATACTGTTACTCCTGAAGAGCAGGCAAGGTCAAGCAAAGCAGACAATATATTTTACTAGAATGTATTTGACTGGCCTGATACGTTGACTTTTTGCTGCAACAAGGGCACACACGGATGCTGCTCTTCATCTACCCTTGTCTGTCCGCTCATCCTCCTCTACTCAACTGCCAACACTCTGTGACATGAACAAGGACCACCAACCTCAGAGCTATCCATAGACATTTTGAAATTCAGCTGGTTGCATGGACATAAATTCAACCGCCCCCTAACATCTCCATACTACCCACATCAAGGCTATCTGTGAGGGTGCTGACATAGCTATCTGCTGAGGTGGAGAAGGATGGAGAGAGATCAATCTTTTTCTTTTCATAACTCCACAGAACTTTCCCCAAACTTATACTACAGAAGAACAGAGGAAAACACAGATACAGAACAAGCCTGGAGAACAAGCCTGGCATACTGGCAGATGGGAAGCAAGAAGGATTATGCACTCTGCAGCAAGTGGGAAAACAGAGGCTTCAAATACCACTTTCTGACAGAATTTTCAAACAAGTCACCTACTCATTGTCAGCCTGGAAAGGCAAAGGGCTGCATCACCCTTGCAGATTACAGCACGCCTAATTGCAGCTCAAAGCACAAAGCAACCTCTTTACTCCAGCCACATCATCTAAGAGGCCCTTCAATGCGGATGTCTCCAGCCTAACCCTTTGGATGTGGCTTGTATTTGCTAAAGTCCAGACTTAGAGACTACTCATTTAGCTTCTTCTCTTTTTGTTCTGTTCATTCACATGACTAGTCTGCTCCCTTCAGAGAATCTATTACCTAATTTAACACTTTATTTCAGTTTTTACCTCTTGCATCTCAGTTGCCACAAAATCTTCATTTCCTGCTCCTGTAATTCTGCTACTGCAGTACATAGCTCTGCTCGTGCTAGTATATCCCTTGATAGAACAGCAAATAATTTCTGTCATATTTTTCTTTCCCATGTCTTTTACTCAACAGAGACAACTGCTTGTTGTATAAGAAAAACAGCAACTGGCTAATTGTTATCTTTAGAAGTTTCACATGAAAAAAATGGATGACTTATGATCTAAGTCCTCTTTGGCAGCATGAATTTAATGAAAACAGTTCACTCAGGAGAAGATGGTTTGCCTTCCAGAAGGTTAGAGCTCTGGGGGCAGATGCTGGCAGCTCATGAGCACCACTAACAGCTCCACAAGGACAAGTCGCTGGGTTGAGTGCTTTGGCAAACTGTGGTGGCAGCTGCAGTGAAGTATTAGCTCTGCCTAATGACACTATTGGCTCTTCCCTCTCCTCTATATTTGCAGATGCCAACTGTGCATTAAAATGAAAATGCATACATATTTAATGGCAGTACTTAGCACTTATAGGAAGTACTTTTCAAGCTGAATGAGCTTTACCATCATTAATCATTAATGGGGCAGTCCTCCTCCTCAACCTGTTTGGGAGGATTGCTCAAGTCCATTAGACTTGCTTCCTTTTGTTCACATCTTCCAAGAAATGCCGCTCATCCCTGTCACGTGCTCTGTCCTCTCTGTCCCCAAGGTGTTCCCCTTCCATTCACATGTCACTGGCCCCTGTCTCCCCAAAACCAGCCCAGCACCTCTACATGCCACCTCTGGGAATGCAGGTGCTGTCTGGAGGCCATAAAATAGCACTATAAATTAGGCAGAGAACACAAAATCCTGCCAATTCAAATTTCCCAGCTCTAGAGATTCCTCTGGCAGAGACAGAAAAATCTGAAGTATTTAGTACGAGTCTTTTCTTGAGAAATACACAAGATAGAACACTTGGTCTTTGAAAGTCTTGAAGTGGCTACAGCACTTCAAGTGCCATAAAGCATTAATAAGCAAACAAAACAACACAGTTGCCTAGTTATACATAATGAAAAAAAAAAATCATTAAAAAAATCATTACTTTTGCAAAACGATGGTTCATTATAAATTGTTTCTCATTTTCTCACATCTGTCATTTTATTCCCTGTTATCTATTTAAGAAATAAAGTACTGTTTAATATGAAGGGGAAAAAGTATTTTGAATGTAAATCACCCAGAACAACTTCGAAAATAAACATTATTACATAACCTTCTTTCAGAGAACAGGAAAGATGAAATGAGATACCTAGTGCCTGAAACAGCTTGAGATAAGGTAGCAAAGGTACCCAGCTGTACATGGGCCCTTAAACTAATGGCCTGAGCATCTGTATTGTTCATGTAAGGGACACTTACTATGGTGAGTTACCTGTTTCTGAAGCAATGCTTTTTTACTGAACTCCTCTTGTTCTCTTATTAAAAAGAAAGAAAGAAAAAAAACTCTCTATTTCAATAATTAAGCAAATAAACGCTATCGAAATGTGTCACACTTGGATGCTCTTAAAAGACTGTGGTTGTTCTTCATGTTTCTCTTTATCCACATAGCCTGAAACAATGAAGTCTGAGTCAGACTTCAAAAAAATAACTGTTTGGATTGAATTAAGCAAACTGAAAAAGGATAACTGTGAAAGAGGTAGGCTTTTTTGAATTGAGAAAATATTTTTTATATTCAGCTTTATATTACATTTTTGTACTTTGACATTGTCACTTGGGATAAGAAGGTAACACATGTCAAGGAAGAACAGAAAACTCAGCATACAAGTTTTCAGTCATTAGCTGAGCAATGGTAATAAACCACATACACAGTTGTACTCCTTTCCCAATTCGGAAGTAAAACATGTTAGTTTATTCCTTAGGCAAGTTGCTGTGTTTTATTTTGCAGTTACAGGTGAACAGACATTTGCAGTGGCTGGATTTCTATGTTGTGTGCATTCTTTAAGCTTATCACAGAATCACAGACTGGTTGAGGTTGGAAGGGACCTCCAGAGATCATCTAGTCCAACCCCCTGCTCCAGCAGGGACACCCAGAGCACAGGGCACAGGGTGGCATCCAGGCAGGTTTGGAAGATCTCCAGAGAAGAAGATCTCCAGAGAAGGAGACTCCACAGCCTCCCCGGGCAGCCTGTTCCAGGGCTCTGCCACCCTCACAGTGAAGAAGTTCCTCCTCACATGGAGATGGAACTGCCTGTGCTTCAACTTATACCCATTGGCCCTTGTCCCATCACTGGCCACCACTGAGAAGAGCTTGACCCCTTCCTCCCTACATTCCCCCTTCATGTACTTATACATGTTAATCGGATCCCCTCTCCCTCTCTTCTCCAGAGAAAACAGGCCCAACTCAGTCTCTCCTCATACAAGAGACATTCCAGGCCCTTAACCATCTTTGTCGCTCTCCGCTGGACCCTCTCTAGAAGCTCAGAACTGCCCCCAATACTCCAGGTGCGGCCTCACCAGAGCTGAGGGGAGGGGCAGGATCCTGTCCCTCGACCTGCTGGCAACACTCCTCCTGATGCAGGCCAGGATTCCATTGGCCTTCTTGGCCACGAGGGCACACTGCTGACTCATGGTTAACTTGGTGTCAACCAAGACAGGTCCCTCTCTGTGGAGCTGCTCTCCAGCAGGTCGACCCCTAATCTGTACTGATGCCTGGGGTTATTCCTGCCCAGGTGCAGGATCCTGCACTTGTCCTTGTTGAACCTCATAAGGTTATCAAATGATGAAGGAAAAAAAGGTGCTTAAAAAAAAAAGTCCTTCTAGAAACATTCTCCAATGCGAATTTGAAATTCTAGAGTATAATACGTTGCCTGCAGGATACCACACTGCACAACAGCGTTAAGGTGGTTTGGATTCGTTAACTGCAAAAATACCTATGCCTCAAAATTCATTTTACATTTAACAACTCTGTATATGTTTTTTTTTTTTTAAATAACATGCTTGCAGTATATTATCCTATATGAATGGAAGAGAAGGAATCCCAAGAAAATCTTATCATGTAGAATTTGTAATTTCTGTTAAATAAATGAAAGCAAAAGAAAGCAAAACACCACATATCCTATTTTAAGCTGCAGGTCAAGAGGTTTCACATGTCCCAGTCGCTTTATGCCAACCCTGAACAGTGCAAGGTCAGTCAAAACTGACAGGGTAGGTGACCCGAGCACTGGGCTTGCGCTTCTCCCTGCGCCTCCATCACGTGCACTGGTGTATGCACATTCTCTGCACCCTCCTGCTCTGCCCTCTCTTTTGCATTGTGGAAATCAGGAATGCTTTTGTTTTTTCTTTGCTGCAGCCTCCAAGTGGCTAGTGGCTTCCCTCTGAAGCGGTCTAATGTAGGCTAAATATATAAAGCTCATCAGGATGAATTGTTCTCCTAATCTTTTAC